AGAGAGAGAGAGAGAGAGAGAGAGAGAGAGAGAGAGAGAGAGAGAGAGATAGATAGATAGATAGAGAGAGAGAGAGAGAGAGAACGAGTACATTTTAGCTTATAAATGTTTGTTTTTTATTTTTTATTTTTTTATTTTTACATTTTGATGTCTTCATGCATGCCAGGGGTAGGGGGCTCAAGGCCAGATATTATCACCATCATGATAGATGATAGCATTCTGTCCAGAGCCAAACTGTTCCTAGTTTTGGTTTTGTTCAAACCTATACCATGGAGAACACTCTCTCTGCATCTGCATTTGAGTGAGGAAGCCACAGTGCTTTAAGTCTTGACATACATGCTCAGGGCAAGTTCTGCTGTATGTGTACTACAGTATGTAGCCTACATTGAGCACTGATGTTCACTTGGCTCGCTAGGGGCCAAATTTATTTTTTATTTATTTATATATATATATATATTTTTTTTTATTTGGAAGAATGTGTCTGTCTTTTACCAGATTCACACATTGTTATAACACTATACCGCTAGTACTTTCCTCAGTTTCTGGTAGCCAAATCTAAGTTAAAGCTTCTGGTTGCAAAGCAGCTGGAGAGTTTTTGACTGCATAAAAGTCTAGTGTGACCGCAGCTTTAGCTTCCCTCTGTATTAGTCCAATAATTATAGCAGACAAGTTATCCCTTATTTCTCAGCGTGAGAAATACAAGGTGTGGTGTGAGAGCGTGTGAACGGGAAATAATATTTTTTATATTTCATACAATCATACGAGCTTGTTTAGAACGTGCAGTGTTGCACAGCATCAGCTGCTAAATTCCAATCTGCGTTTGCGCTTTGGCTGGCGCTGAGCCAGAGACAGACGCGTTTTTACAGCTCTGCGCATTATAACCAATCAAACACGATTCTGTTGAGCTTATGAATGTAATAGCCAATCAGAGGCGTTCAGATGAGTCATCGCTGAAATGCTGGTGTTCTGTTCACTCGCTCGCTGAAGGAATTCTGTTCTCTGACGATTCTCTCATCAGAAACAACAAAGTGCAGATGTGTGTACGAAGTAGGATATTCATTTCCGCATCATATGACCCCTTTAAAAATATTTTATGGCATGACACCCATATCTGGTACTTAAGTAAAAAGATGGAGTTTTATGCGTAGTTAATAGATTACACTATTAGGGTACTTTGCCAAACGCCCGTTATAGATCAATTAATCTGTAAAGGTGCAAAATGCATTTACTTTCACATATTTGAGAATCGAGATATTTCATGATATTGTTAACACGTTTTGGAATATTTCGAATAAAAGGGAAAATATAAATAAAGCATAAGCCTATATCATGTATAACTACCTATATGGCTGATATGTGTCACAT